GATGGTGGGGGTGAGAAACGTGCTCGTCACCCTCGAAGAGCGCCTCGAGAGACTCAGTAAGCGCCGCGAGTTCGCCGTGGCCGGAAATCTATCGTGGCGTTCTTGTTCGTGTTTCATGGCTTTCGGCCTCTGACGCGCCACTTCTCGACTCTGTCGCTCCTACGAGTGCGTACGTCGAGCTTAGAAATATCGTTATTTATCATTCGAATACCTTCGATACATGTAACACGCCGGAAATTGCTAACAGATCGAACTGCGATATATCAAAGTTTAGTGCAAGAGTCGAGTCGCGTTTCGTGTAAGAAAGTTGAACGAGGTCTGGTTCCTTGGTGATACAAAAGGATTTCGTTCCGGATGGTGCGCAAAGGAAGAAACAGTCGTGACCAGACTGGTTGCTTTGTCTGTTAAGATCCGTAGAAATTCGACACACGGTAAAAGCAATTACGTTAAGAGGTCCCTGAGTCGGGAGCAGTGTGTCTCGAGAGACGATTCGGTCTCTCATCCCTCGCTCCTTGCGGCAAGCTTGCAAAGGATCGCGGGACAGTTTGTGGTTAGCTGACGTCATCAAGAACAAACAAGCAGATCGAAGATCCGCAGGAAGAGAGATATTATATATCTGTGTTGAGAGACAAAGAGCCGCCTAGGAGTCGTTGTCCCAACAGAGGGAAAATTAGAAAAGGGAATATCAGTTGCTAGAAACGTACGGAGGAGACAGAAAAGGAGAGAGATTTCATCTGGAGAAGTCTGAATTCCTGTCGGAGCTTCGTTCTATTCGATGACGATTTAAAGTTTTTTTTTTCTAATTAACTGTAATTGTTCGTTTTGACTCTCCTCTCGATCATCGAGTTGAAATCAATCCGAGTTGATTGCTGATATTTTCCATTTGGATAGTAACGGCGTGAACATCTAGAACTCCCACGGAGTTCTCGTGCAAGATGATAACAAGTGTCAGGATCGCGATGAACGTCCGCCTGTCCCTGGTCGACTGATCGCCAGAGACAGTTCGAGAAAGAGGGAGACGAGGCTTTTTCCATCAACTAGATTGAAAAACGATGTCCGACAGAAGCAAGTGAGGATCCCTTTTTTGCGTGTCCCCCTTTTTTTCGGTAATCTCTACTCGACGGAAGAAGATGTGCCTGCGACACTTGCTGCTCTGCCTGTTGGGCGTCATCGTCATCGTCAACGGTGAGCTTTTGTCTCGTTTCTTTGTAGGAAGAGCTTCCCTGACTTTCAACGAAAGGGATTGGTAACGCTGGATGTCATTGAAATCTGGTGATGTCATAGAAAAGAGCGATGATTCGTGTAACAGTGTATTGGGAACTTAGTACGAAACGTTTTCGTGTAAAGATCTGTTTTCAACGAGGATTAATTGGAATATTTATTAAGAACACGTGTATTTTAGTTGCATCGAAAAGATTTTATTTTAAAAATAACGTCGATATGCAAACAGACGTTCGAGTTAATGAAAATGATGATGTGGTGAAATTCGTCACTAGCTCGATTATATCTGTCTTATTTGTTAATTGAAGACAATTTTGATTATTCTCAGAATAAAGTGTAACATTTCTTTCGACTCGTTCAATTTATCGAGCATGAATTTTTTCGTGACACCCAAATTTTCTAAAACTTTTTATCCGTAAAATATTACAACGTCGAATCTTTTCGTGTTAATTTAAACTATAAACCAAACTCCGATTCTGACACTATAGTTTACGATTGCTGGGATAGCTACCTAGATTGGTTAACCAAGCAGATTATGACTAATTAAGTGTGCACGTGTATTTAACGAATATCTGAACATGATTTTTTTGAAAAATATATACGAGTACGTACGTGTCCTTCTGTTGGACGAGTAACGAAGCTTTCTTCGATTTTACCATGGTTTCAAAAACATTCCATATAAATAATGATTATTATTCTCAGTCCTTTGCGCTCCATTGATGCTGCAGACGTTAATAATGTGAATATTGTTTCTGATATTATTTTAACCGATGAAAATTGAAGAAAAACGTTTTTACACAGTTACATACGAAAACTTTTGGTTTCAACAAATTCTACCATAAAAATATTTCGAAGTTGGCGTATGATCGTGTGAAAAATATTTTCGCAGTGCAGAGAATTCATACTAATAATAGTGTCAAATGAGTGGCGTTTGGCCATTACATATATAATGCACAATCGATGTAGTATAATATCGTATACATAGTATTACAGAGTATTGTATGGTAATATTATATGATATGTGCACTGCTATTCATAAGTCCTTACAGAGACCGTTAGCAGATTTAGGACAGTGATAAATTAATGTTTTACATACCAATTAAAATTGACAGTTATGAACTGTCTGCATTACAAAGAACAAAACTAGATTATACAATATTTCTACAATCCTATTAGGAACTTATTTGGATAGGTATTTCTTTTAAAAGTTAAATCTTGTTATCAAATGTTCAGTAAATTATGAATGGGTGTAAAGACAAGAAATCATATTCATATTATTATTGTTATTATATAAAATATCCAAATTAAATTACTCTTCGCAATAAATAGTAGATAAAGATAGTAGATGATAGTATATTCATAAAAATATGAATATGTATAAATATCCGGAGACGATAATATATAAAATCAACGTAAATAATACACGAAAGAAATTGAATGAGAATCAAAATAATAGTCGAGGCAAATAGTATACAGTGTGCAAACATTTTCGGCCAAATAGATTCTCCACGCCGCAATCTAAAAGAGATATCTAATACCACTTTGTAATAAAAAAATAATACACTGAAATGAACACTGTCGTATACTTATTATATAATAATAGTATAAATTCTTTGTATAAAATATCGCCTTTAGCTGGACATGTATCTGACCAGAAACTTTTGTATCACCGCCGTAAATATGATCAATTTACATATCTACCGCTCACTGATAAATTGGACTGCAACATTTTTTGAAAAAACAGCTAAATAGCTGCTCTGTTTTGTTAGTTTCATGCATCGCGATTTATCGAGAAAATCGCTATGTAAACATTTTATGACCAGTCTTGATTTGGTTTAAAACGGTCAGAAAACTGTGCTGTTGAATTGAACTGTCTGAATGTAGCAATTGTAGAAGTTGTTTTTATCCTCCCAAAAGGAGTTGGGTTCGTTGACGCGTACATCGTAGGTTGATAGGATTGTTCACGTGGATTTCCTCGAAGGAGGTCGTACAGGAGCCGTTTTTGTCCCGTATGACGAAGGAACGCGAACTCGGAAGTGTCGTAAAGCGCCAGACAAGTTTGCAGCTAACCACCACCTGACCGAAACTTTTTGCCAACTATTCTTTTTTTTCTTCCTGCCTCCGCGCTTCGCTCTAAATTAGTTAATAAAGTCGGAGAAAAAAGAAAGGAAGCTCGTTTAATCTGGTTTTAAACGAGTGGAATACGGTTAATCCTCGAGCTGTTGACGCTCGAGGACATTCGAACTTTGTACCATTTATGTAGCGACGACTTAACAAACTTTCAAAAAGAAAGGAAGAATTTTAATTTCCAATATGAATACTGATAGTGTTTTACTTTGTTATTCTAAATTAATTGTCAACTTGTTAAAGAGCAAAACCTAGCTTTAACTGTATCATGGTTGGTTTTAGACGTAACTTTTACCACCAAATTAAATTGCCGTGTTGTAATAATTGCTCTTTTTTTGTAAGGATATTATTTTACTGAATCTATCATATATCTTTTAAATTTCGAACTTCGTCGTGTATAACATTTTTATTTCACTAATACTATTATTCTTCCTTACGATAAATTAGTTTCTAATCTTTCGAAAAATATTGTCTAACGTTAATGTATAATTTTGAATATAAATCCTAAGGTGATACCAATCGATTTTCATCGCAGGGATTTATTACGAGTGATCTTAAACGCCTCAGAATTCTATTTTATCCCCAATTTTCGAATGATCAACTCTATTAATTTCTACGTAATTAAATATTCCAATTGTTCGACTAAACACGAAGACCGGAAAAGAAAAAAAATTGGTAGTCGACTGTATCCCAATTTATCCCCAATGGGCGCAGAAAGCGGAAATCCATAAACCATCGGAGTCTCATCCTGCGAAAAAGACGAAGAGCGAGAGAGGATTCTTAATCCTCGCAGGAACGAGCCTAAAGTAGATGGGGTAGGACGGGTTACGGAACGTCACGGTAGAGTTAAGTGAAGCTAGATTACGGACGTTAAGTCGTCGAGTGGACGTTAAAGCAGCCGTGTGCCCGTTCCCAAAGAGATTTTTCGGAGTTGCCGGTTTACAGCAAATAGTTGCAAGGAAAATAAAACAGGGAACAACCCCGCGGGCTAACGCGTGTCGTTTTTACACGTGTCGGCAGATTTTACGGCGTGCCAGCCCTCGTAATCTACGCAGAGCGAGAGACAGAGAGAAACGGTCGGATACACAACAGTGAGGGAAAGAAGAGAAGCTAGACGGAGAGAGAGAGAGAGAGAGTGTGTGTGTGTGTGAGAGAGAGAGAGAGAAGAGATATAGAAAAGAAAATGAGAGAAAGCGAGAGAGGAAGGCGAGCTAGCAATGGGCGAAGAAAAGGGGGATTGTAAAAAAAGCCACCGCGGATCGTGGGGTGTTAACGCGCGCATTAACAGAGCTTTCGTCGGGGGAAATAAAAAACGATATGCATGGATGGACGGTGGATTTTCGTGTCGACCATAAAAAAAAAGAAAAATAAAAATAGAAAAAAATCCTGCAAGGTGAAAGAGTACGAGGCCGTGAAAGTGAATCAAAACGCGTTGTTCCTGCCTTTTTTCCTCGCCTGTTTTGTACCTTTTTTCCCTCTCTATTCTTCTTCTCCCTTTTAGCCTTGTATCTTTGTCAAGAGGGGAAATAGTCGATGTCGATTCGCTTTAGAACGGGGGAATGAATGAATGAAAATGCGTGGCGTTTTATGAGTTCGTTTTCCCAGCTGCTTTTCTGCCCGCTTGTACACAGCTATTCTCTCCGTTTGCCTGATAATTCTTTCATTTTTTTTTCTGGTTCGTGCTCGTTTCTCTCGTTCTTCTTCCTCTTTCGCGGAACTCTGACGCGCGAAAGATTCGTTTAGCACGGATCGATCGGTTTTCTAGGGAAATCGAGCAAACGAACGCCGGAAAATTGCACTGTTTACATTCAATTACTTACCAGTGTACCTTGCAATAAACAAGATTACGCGTCTAATGAAATATGTACTCGCCTCGACCCGTTTAATTTCATTTGCTCGTTCGAGTGTTCACCGCTGCAATTCACCGGTTCGCTCCCTCTGTTTCTCAACCCTAGCTTTTATTGCTATCGTTTCCATGAAGAAACGGTTCGTTTATTGTTTGGAATTAAGTTATATTCGTTTACACGCAGGCTTTAAAGTTAAACGACTCTGCTACAAGCGGATGGGCAAATCGCTGTGTCACTTGAGGATCGTACGGTTGCTTGAAATAATCGCAGGATTAGCACGTTCGCAACGTTAGAAACGAAAGAAATTATGTTGTTGGTATATTGGCTAATGTGTTGGTAATATTTTGTATAGGGTATAAGTGAAGCGAAAAGTGTGTCGTAGTGTCGCAAGGATGAATCAAATCGATGTGTTTGTAGTTATCTGAGGTGGCTGATCAAGTAGTGTCTTATACTACTTTGTTTCGTTTATTCTTTTTCTTTGCTTTACGTGTAAAAATATTATACTTTAAGCATATAAACATCAAATATATGATACCTAATATACATATATAAATTATATATGATATTTAATGTACATATATAAATTTTTTGCAGATACATCTATATGTACATATAAATGTATAACATCTGTGGAATATTTATACATCTGACATTTTATTCCATTTTGAATTTGTGAAAGATATTCATTCTGACAAACAGACATATTTTATCTCTAGAATATAATTCTATTTTCAATTTATTATCTAATTATTATATACTGTACCGAACAATGTAATTTATTTCATTCAAAAGCTCGTTGGCTCGTTCTTTTAAAAAATATCGGTTTACCAGCAAGTTGGCTTTTATACATATCGCAAAAAATATCCATTCTGACAAGCAGCCACAGTTTATTTCCATAATACAATCTTATTTTATTTTATTATATAATCGACTAACTTCCTGAAAAAAGAACCTACAGCTTTATGATAAACATCTATATGTATATGCTGA